ATTTAGTTAGTAAGACAAAATCATCTTAAATTGACTGAACGATTCTACCCGCATACCCTTACTAACATAAGAAGAAAACTTCTTCGGAATTGAAACGAGCCTTGACGAGAACGTCCGTGCATTTGTGTTCCTTTAGACTTTATATAGTAGTATTATACTATGTATTATCCTATATAGGAATTAAGTATATACATACAGAATGTTTCAAAATATATCGGCGCAACTTTAACAATGCTTCCAGTCAGATGAAATAAGAAAACATGAAACACCCTAATCATAATCATTTCTTAATTATACGCTTAAATGGTTAAATTATTTTTATACATTTTCATAGAAGAAAAAAGAAAGAAATATTGTCTACATAAAAACTTGATAAGAAAATGCAAGAAACTTTGGAGACAACTTAAATACTCACTTACTAGTAGAAGACAAAGAAAATGATAGAAGAAGAGAATAAACGAGTGTTGCTTGCCTATCCACCCACGTAAAATGTAGGGGAGGGGGGATCCACTTAACGTCTCGAACGATAAACATATCTACCTAACGTTTCTCTAATACGGAATTCTCTCTTTCAGATCAAACGACTATACAAGTATATACTATCAATGTGCATACGCTCGAATACACGAGCAGTTTCGGTGTCGTAGGTCGACTTAATAAATTTTAACCTATTCGCTCAAACACACACATACATTTATTCTCCTTCCTTCCCTGAAACTCCCTATTCACACATTCGTACATGCCTTCTGTCCCTCACATACTCTGCGTTATTTCTTTTATTCACACATTCTCATTCTATCGCTCATGCATTCTAATAAACACACACAACAACTACAAACTTTGTCTCTCTCTCTTTCTCTTACACACACATAGAGGCTTGTATATATGTTAGAGATAAGAAAAACATACTAAAAGTAAAGAACATCCTATCGTGGTTTGTTCTCAAAGCATTTTATTCAGTCCCAATATACGTTTCTATATAATCAGTCGATGAAAACGTTTGCAAAGCCACGTGCAAGTAGCCGCCCAAGAAGAAGGTTCTTATACAAAAGTACTAAAGGTACTAAAGGTACTAAAGGTTATTTTATCGAAAATCCCTTTTATATTAAGGAATACTATTCGATATCCTTAAATAGTTTTCTTCTGTTGGAAAATAAGAAAAAATCATAGGTCGCAAAATACATGTTATTCGCGAAATCAGAAATAAGTGTTTTGAAGAGGTCGCGAACCGAGTTGTTCATGGAGTCGCGTTTCCACAGAAGCTACATTCCACGAATGCGTCGGCCGTACTTCCTGCTGTCTGAATGAAACGTTCCCTTGGTGTATTTCCAAGATAAAAACAAAACTTTACCGGTGGATTCCTTAAATTGTCTTCAAATTGTCTTCAAATTGTCTTCAAATTGTCTTCATTTTGTCGACCCACGAATCGTTCATTTTATTTCATTCGTCAAATAAATAATAATTAAACAACCGGTGTACACGTGTGAGTAATACATACATGGGACAACATAAAATAAACTCTACCTAGAGATAGATGGATGAATAATGGAAAGACTAAAACGTAGGAGAGAAGTGTGATCCCTTTCAATTCCTTCCTTCTCAATTCCACGTGTCAAGCAAACCACCGTGAAGTATCCTATTGCCGTTTAAACTCGGTTTTAGTTTGTTCACGTGGGATTTAATCCTCCGAGGAACGACCAAACTTCATCTTCTCTTTTTTTGAGAAACTTCTTTCTTTCGAGAAACGCACACGTACGTACACGATGATCATCACACTTGAACACAATTTTTTAGCACTTTTACCTATACAAAAATTGATCAATTACATTTCTAAAACAAATCTTTTACTTTAATGCAAAACACTGTGCAACTTAATTTCACTGCAAATGTTTGTTATTGCAAATGTTATTGTAAATTTGTCGAGGAAATTAATAAAAAAGAAAATAATACGTTTAAAGTAGGATGATCTAGAGCCACGATGTGACCTCAAGTACCACTGCTTATAGCATTAACAACGTATACACCATGAACCTCTTCTTCCACCACCATCACCACCACCACCATCATCATCATCATCATCATCACCACTATCACTACTATACTTGCAAAACATTAACAACCAGTCATAAGCACCACATTGTTCGTGTATGATACATAAATTCATACCTAATGTTCATAATTGTTCGATTATGTTTATTTAAATCCTTTAAATAGCAATATAAATATTAGGTAATTGGTGTATAGTGTATGGTATTACCAAGTGTAATTGTCATTTATTTGTCTTACTTTTCTCTTCATAAATTATACATAGTTTAGTTTCTTTTCAAAGTCATTTACACTCCATTAATGAATTGGGCTTACTTTTGTTGAACGTGCCGATATATAATTTTAGTAATGATCCAAAAACGGCGCAAAGCACACGTGGATGCAAAGCTTGGAACGAAGACGTACGAAATGAATGCTAATGAATCACGCAGTCAAAATATACCTAGTGCTCTCTTTCTCTCTTTCTCTCTTTCTCTCTTTCTCTTTGCACGAGAAGCATATGCGTTAGTTGGTAGGAAGATAAAAATGAAAAAGAAAAAAAACCTTGTGTACGAGCGTGTATTAATAAACGTGCGGACACGAGGTTTGTAATCGTGCGCGTTACAAACGCACTTATATTTTCTTCTGGAAAAATGTCTTCATTATGTCCATTTTTCTAAGCTACTTTTAATCCCAATCATAATAGAAGAAATATTACATGATAAAAGATTTATATAATGAAAATGATCGTGACACAAGATAAAATATGATTCGTATACAAAAGCATGATTATTCCTCTCGCAATATTTTGTGTATTACCTATTTACAACACATACACGTTTATCCCTATATAGGTGTTGAGCAGCAATTAAATCAAAACAATCGACTATCGTTAATTGGCTCCCCCCCCCCCATGTCACGTCTCGTTACTATCTACCTTTGTTTTAACCATACTCGACTTGAGCATACGTGTATTAAAAGTACTATTACTATCTATCCATGTCACACACATGTTTCGAGTGTTCCTATATAGAGAACAACCAAAATACGTATTACGCGTTATCCTACCTAAGTACTTTATGCGATGAAAAATGTATTGTTAATGAACCGATTTGATCAATCATTAAATAATTCCACAATTCATTAATATCTCAAATGGATATCGAACGATAAGTGGTATTTTGAGTTGATTTAAGGAGCGTTACACACTCTTGATTTGTTTATCGCTAAACGAAAGCATTTGTTGTTGTTGTGTTGTTGTGTTGTCGTCGTCGTCGTCGTCGTCGTCTCAGGAAACGTGTAGGAGTGTGCGATCATCGTACATGAGCTACCATCTGTCGAGCATACGAGAAAAATCGTTCGGTGATATGCCAGAAAATCGTTTATTAGTCATTTCCTCTTACAAACTCTTGTCACGAGAACAAAAATAAATGAGAGAAAAAGAAATAAAAAGAAAGAAATAGTGGTCAAACCTAATGATAAAAGCGATGAGTACTATAAACAAGAACTGGTAATGCAACTTATTTTTATTCCTTTTCTCTTGTTTTTTTTTCAACTCACGCGTTAAGTATCACAAATCGGAAGATATTAACTTATTTTTTTTTTTGTCCAATACACGTTAAAGGAAAAACGAGTTTGTGAGTCACGTTAATTTATTGCTTTATATGTATTCAGGTATCTATGTGTGCCGGATGTGTAACGAAGAACACATTGCAAGTTATCGCTTTTCCCCTACTCCCTTTTTTTTTATATTTCTTTATTGAAAGAATAAAATCACGAAATAAATGCGGAAATAAATCATTTATTTATATTCATCTTGATACGAACAAGTTTTTGTTATTCTGTCGATAAAAAAAGAAAGAAAAACAATAGTAATAGAAGGAGAAAGATATATTTATATCGAGAATACGTGAATCGGTCATTACGGGTATTAACCGTAAAAAGTGTTTAATTAAGCCATAGTATTCTCATGCAAACTTCTCGAGTGTTCATTTAAATAGGTAAAATACCGTATTTTCCCCCATGATATTTTGAACGAAGGTTCTTTTTTTCGGAAAAAAAAAAAAAATAGAGATAATAAATCTCAACTTTTTCTCCACGCAATACTATAATATTGAAATACATAAACTTTTCATCTATCCAATCTTCTACTCGATTCCAACGTCTTGTACATTAATTTCATCCTATAGCAATGCATACAGTTGCGTATACTTTTGATTAAAATAATCCAAAAGAAAAATAGTAATGTAAAGTAGACAAAAATCAAAGTAATTTATAAAATTGTAAAGACTTTTGAAGATAAGGACTCGAATAAGAATGATCTTCGTTATTGGGATCCGTCAAGGCAGAAAACGATCAGGTGGAAATTAATAGCAACGGGGAGGGATTTACTTTTCGATTAAAGAAAGAAAGAAAGAAAGAAAGAAAGAAAGAAAGAGGTAGAAGAAGAAAAAAAAAAGGTAATTATCGAGCTTCTTGAGAAAGGGCAGCCAGCAACCGTCAGAGTAATGGCGCGTTTATGGTTTAAGAGAGATGCTTCTTCTTTTGTGTTTAGGGTTGTGCCTCTCGAGATACAAGGGTTCGTCACGTGGTATTTTGGCAAACTCGTGCTTTGCTTAAATTATCTAATACATTCTTACCAACACCTATTTGTCATAGGTCAAATCATTTTCAAGGTTGGTTATAAATAAAAAAAAAAAAAAAGAAAAGAAAGATATTTAATCAGATTGACTATTATACGTAATACAATCGGAGAGCTTACTTTAAATATCAATTACGTTCTTTCCAAAACTGCTCGTTTGTTATTACATAAAGATCATGCAAGATGTCGTCAATAGGGAAAAATACTGTGATATCCATTGTAAAGAAATTCTATAGAATTATGAATTAACGAGACGGTACGTTAAGGATACGTTGAAATTCCTCCCCTCAATTTGAGAAAAACTCGAACGCTTTATAAAAAGACTCGAGAAAACGTATTTCGTATTTTTCTAAATAGTTTGATCCAGAGTGTGTGTCCCGTATCTCATTGAGAATTGTATCGTTGTATCGTAAATTCATTTGAAAATGTCGAATATTAATAGAAATCTATTTGAACGATTTATTATTTCGATTTTTATTCTCGGATGTATTCTCGAACGTTTTCGATTGATAGACGGTGTAAGTGCATTTTTTCTTTCTTTTTCCATTTCCTTAAATACTACTAATCGTTAATAATTTTGTTTATATCGTAGGCAATGACTCTGGAACAAATGCAAAAAACGGCTACGGGAATTCGTAATAGTTGCATAACAAAGACCGGTGTTAAAGCAGGTGAAACATTAGATGGATCATATTGTTATTTATTCAAAATCATATTACTTATTCTTTGATTGTATCTCTACGTGTTGTAAATGTTTAAAAATGATTCGTATCTGTTAAATGTAGAACTCGTGGATGGACTGAAGACTGGACAATATCCGGAGGATCACGATTTACAGTGCTACACGCAGTGCGTTATGAAAACAATTCGCACGGTAAAGTATTCAACTATTCTATACACACGCACATGTACACGCACACGCAAATATATACGCGTATATATGCGCGCGCATATTTGAGTATAATTTAGTATGGTTTGTTCAAGTTTAAAAATCAAAAAGTGGATGTTGATATGGTGATCAAACAAGTCGAAATGATGATGCCAGTCGACATGCAGGATGCAATGAAAGCTTCCGCAAAAAAGTGCGGAGCATTGGGTAAGTTTTCAAGCAACAAACTTCAAATGTCGACTTGAAATGTTACAAAAAATATCATTTCGCTTAGAACCTGCCGATGACGTATGCGTGACGGCCTTCAACTATGTCAAGTGTAATTACAATGAAAATCCTGATATTTTCTTCTTTCCTTAAGTCGAATTTTTGAAATAAGAAAAAATATAAAAAAAAAAAAATAAACCATCCTAAAGGAATATCATCCGGTGGATCGTAGAATGGAAGGAAGACAATGTTTCGATCAATCATGCGAACATTCGTTCATTTCAGTATCGACGTTTGATTTATATTTAAACAAATCATTATTATAATACGAGAGAATCTTGTTTGCTTGTTTRTTTGTAAGAAAAATAATAAAACGTATTATAAAATTACACGCTAATTATTTATATTAATTAATATTATTAACGTATTCCTGAAATTAATTTAATCGTTTGACTTTATTTTAAATTTGAATATTGTCAGGAAATAGAAAGAAATTTGTATTCGTAATAAGATCTAAATGATAGGTGCAAATTTATGATTGTGTAACAATCATTTTGGATTGCGCGAGGGAAATAAAAGAAAAAGAGAAAACATTGAAATGTCGAGGAGGTTTGGGAAATAAAGGTGGAAAGAAATACGTATATAAAAGGCACGTATACTATAATATTCCATACATATTATAGACATGTTCGTCATGCTGGCACCAAACGCGTGATATCAAATTGCAGGGTAATGAAATGGTTCGAGACATTAAATTCGTACCTGCCATAGAAAGAAGGAAACGAAAATTGTCCGTTCTCCCTCTGATACGATTTTCAAAGGCTTTATAAAAGAAGCTCCGAACGTTTCGAAAGACAAGTAGTCGTTCGTTGTTGACAAATTCTTCATCAAAAGGAAAATCATTTTTTCTTGTTTTGTTATTTTATTAAAGACGAAAACGCGAATAAACAACAATATCCGACAAAATGAAGGCTACGATTATTTTTGCCATTCTAATCGTCGTCCTGGCGAATTTTCACGACGCGGAAAGTGTGAGTTTTCTTTTTTCTTTTTCTACGATATATTGAGTAACACACTCAACGAATTAATACTAATTTTAAATACAATTTAATTTATCATTTTCTCTCTCTCTCTCTCTCTCTCTCTCTCTCTTTATTATTTGAATGGTAGAAAAAAATGTCTATGGAGCAAATAAGAAACGCAGTCAAGTCGGCGAGAAAAACTTGCGCGAATCAAGCAGGTGCTTCGAAAGGTACGTAGTATAATTATATATATATATATATATATATATATATATTTTTTTTTTTAATATTAACTCCAAGAACATACGACATATAGACAAAAAACTTCTTTTGTTCTGAACATATTTAACAAGCTAGATGATTGAATTTGTTGTAGCAAAAAATTCATTATAAATGCAAATAGTAGAAGCTTCTATATCATCGGTTACGAGCTGTTTTTATATGTTTCATTTTTATGTAATAAAAGAAAAAATAACGTTGTTTAAACTCTTGTAGATAATTATCTGTTCGTTTTGATAAAATAAAGAATAATTACAGAATTATTGGATAACGCATCGCAAAAAGGCGAATTTCCACCTGATCCAAAACTCCAGTGTTACCTTAAATGCATTATGACTTTATCCAAAGCCGTAAGTTTATTTTTAATAACATTTTCACGAAAAAAGATCAACTATCTTAACAATTCTAAGAAGTATTGCGACAAAACAAGAATATATAAAAATTTTATCATTACAATTAAAAGAACTATTTACGCGAATATGATAATTACTCTTGTGTAATTAGTCTAAGGTTAAAGGAAAGATATACACATAATGCATAATTATAAGTGCGGTTAAATAATGCGCTGAATAATATTAAAACCGAGTAGTGTTGCATCATTTAATCGATTAAAAATATGAAGAAAAAAAAACCCGAAAAAAACCCGAAAAAAGGAAAAAGAGGAAAAGTGCAACGAATGAGAATTGGATAATTTACAGATGAGAAACGACGAATTTCGACCTGACGTAATGAAAACTCAAGCCGAGTTGATGCTCACCGAAGATTTAAGCGAACGTATCAAAGAAACTATCGATAAATGTTTTCCCTCCAGTAAGAATAATTTATTTATATTATTATATTTTTCGGAATTTTGGCCTTTTTTTTTTTACATTACTTTTATTTACAGTAACCAGCAGCGATCCGTGCGAAGCCGCATGGCAATTTTCCAAATGTTATTACGAGACAGATAGTTCGGTAAATGTATTTATATTACTTTATTTTTCTTCATTTTCCTCGAAATTTCCGTATCATTGGCGGTAATTTTATAATCTTACAAATAGCTATAATTGAGGGGAAACTAATTCGAATAATACATCGCACGAAATCGAATTATTTTCTTCCTTTGATAACAAAAAAAGGAAAAAAAAACTGACAAACAAGAAGAACATAAAAGATTCCATCCAATAAAACTCCTAAGGAGAACTTATTAAATGCTAATAATATCGTTTTTGTAACAATCATTTCTTCAATCAATGATTAAACGATCTTTGTTTCTTTTGATCTTTTTAATTATAGATTTACTTTATTCCATGAAGAAAACATCTTCGATTTATTTACGTACAAGGACAAGACGCAGCTCGAGGGAATGGCAAGGAACACGATTTAAAAAAACTTCTAATGCGATTTGTACTAATTCTAGAACCAAACGACACTGTAGAAGAGTTTAACAAATTAACGAAATAAGAAAAAACTTGTATTATAATTTATGCGAAGGATACTTTATTCTAAAATATATCTTTTAGAAAGGTATATCTCAAATTTTAGTCAAAAGTAATACAAAATGTATGTGAAATGTCTAAATATAATACATAAATAATTAGCAAACATTTTGTTTAGTATTAAATTTGTAAATCTTTGCCATGACTTTTAAATAGATTTTATTTTTCTCCTCGTATTCTTCAACAAATATTATTATACATCCTTGTAACATTGCTTATTAATCTATGAAATAAACAAGAAAATGATTTACGAACGTTACTTTTTATTTGAGAATTTCGATGACTTATACCTTTATATATAATCTAGAAATTTGTATTTTTAAGAAGACCGCTTCTTCATTTGTAAACATATTACTAATACATATATCATTTCTGTCGACAAAGTTAAATATAGAATAGGCATTAAGGTGGGTCAAAAAAATCAATTATTTTTTTTTTTTTTGTTACAAGTACCACGGAAAAATGGGTTGCTAGACACTTTAAAAAAAGAGACAGAAATCAGTACATGTGAAAGTTTGATGATGAATGTTTTTTGTTTGAACGCTTAATTTAATCGGCAAAACATAAGACACCATTTCTATAGAGCAATTAATTTCCTACCAAAATTTGTATTGCGCATTTTATAATAGTCATTTATTGTCGAGTTATAAAATTCATAAACAAACATGAAATTTGTCTTAAAATAATCAAACTTCAATCTTCAATATCATTGAAATGGTGAAGTTTACGGAAAAAATATAACATACCTTTTTTGTAGAGCATTAAATTTCCTACAAGATTCTTCCAGAACATTTTTCTGTACAATCAATTAATGATGAGGTATGAGTTTTATTCTACTGGACTGAGAATAAAATAAAAAACTGCGATGCAAAGGATCTTTCTATTAAAATGAAGAGCTTATATTTGGTAAGAATTTTTTTAAGGTGTCTAGTGTCGAAAATCTAAGGTTTCCGTGTCACTTATAAAAAAAAAAAAAAAAAATAATTGATTTTTTTGACCCACCTTACTAGGCATATTTTTATTGGGTAAAGATAAGCTATATTAATTTACATAATACCACTGACATCTTGTTTATAATCGATTATCAAATTGTATGTTTTTCATTCAAATCAAATTATTTGATTTTATTCTAATAAAAATGTAGTATTTTTGAATATTTTCTTGAAAAGTTATATTGGTTGGAAGAATTTAAATATTTAATTGTTTTGTATAAAAATGAAAATAAACGGTGATTGTCGCTGATTAAACAAGTTTCCTTAAGAAGAAGACAGGTTTGACTTTTTACAAATGATGTTACCTTATTTACATTATACTATATATACTACGAAAGTATAATATTATAAAGGATCTGGAATGACACATTAAAAAAAAAAAAAAAAAATAAAAAGATGTTTTATTTTTTTGTTGACTTTTTTTCCTATTAGTTATAACTAAACATCGTATCGATGTGCCGATATATGACTTACGTAAATTAAACAAGTCAATTAAATTTTCCTGTTTTCTTGTTGACCCTGTACAGATACCTTGAATTAACACACTGGCATTAACACGCCGACGACGTGTAAGGCAGTTTCATATAAATATCGACAGAAATCTTACACTCGGTAGTATTTGAACGATTCTTGATCCAGACGGTTTATTGTTCAAAGATTGTGCGTGTGCTCTTAAAATGAAGTCATTCGTCGTACTTGCTTCCTTTCTTCTTCTTGGGGTAAGATTTTCATATTTTGTCAAATATAAGCAAATTCTAAACTAATTATAAACTAATTCTAAATTAATCGGGCTTATCCAAATATTTCACTGGCTTATTTGAAAAAGTAATCTACTAATCGTATTAATACTTCAACACTAATTCAACAAATAAATCTATTACGACAGGTCGTCGTCGTCGTCGTTTCGGCTGACTCTGATATTGCAGTAAAAAAATATTTACACGCCGTACCAGAACCTGTATTGGCCAAATGCTTGAAGGAATCCGGTCTCGAAGCTGGTAAATCAATACTTCATTTCATATTATTTTATTGTCTGGAATAACACTAACAAACAAGTATGTTTGAAAATTTGTCATCGGTAAAACCATTTGAGTGTAAAAATAATTCACGTTCCATAGATACACATTTTCAATTAGACATTCAACACCCTGCGATATGCAGCACTTATTGTTAATTATATCGTGTGTATAAATTTTCATTAGATAAGGACAAGTTACTTTCCGATGAGAGCACTGTAGATCAAGGAAAATTCAGCTGTTTAATTGCCTGTACTCTGAAAGATAACGGTGCAGTAAGTGAAAACACTTTATTGTCTTTATTGTAAATCTAGTCCATAGTAAAATAAGTTGAAATTTTGTGTTATTAGTTGGTCAACGGTGAGCTCAAATACGACGTTCTGTCAGAATTACTTTCTAAGCTGTTAACCAACAAAGAAGACAAACTTCAAGAGAGATTGGAACTTCTCAAAGCGTGCATTCCCGAAGGTAAATTAGGAGAAAACAAAAATACGACAAATAATTTCATTAATCTAATGAGATGAACCCTTTGACTGAATTTTTAAAAAAAAATTTTTATAAGCTATTTTAATTTACTTTATTTATTTTGTGGATATTCCTTCAATAATAATCGGTAATTTAAATAGAAAAGAACAAATACAAAATTTATAATGTAACACAGAGTATAATAACTTTAACAACAGGATATTTTTATAAGTTTAACCTAATTATAAAAATAAGAAAACGATAATTAACGAATAAAGATAATAAAATTAAAATAGACGACCAATTTCAAATATAAAAGCAATTAACTAAGCGACATTTGTTATAGTAAACAAATACAGGGGGCGTATATTTACGCCTTTCGTGTATATTGACGGATTTGTGAGAGCGTATATATACACTGTTAACAGTCAAAGGGTTAAAGTTGTTACAGTTAAATGAACTTTGTCAATTTTCATTGTATATTTCTATTTAGGTGCTAATGCGAAAAATGATTGTGAATACATTGGAAAGATTATGCAGTGCAAGTTGAGCAAGGCTAAAGAAATGGGTCTTTAAATGGTGGAAATACTTATTTGTGATTCGACATCGAACGAAATATTGCATGTCCTGTTTTTATTCTCTTCCTAGATATCATTTAACCTTTCGTAGTCTCCAAGTTTTCTTGTCTGAAATAAACAAATAGTTTTGATAATTTGTCCGTAGTTGTTAACTAATGAAATTTTTCTTCATAAATATCAACTCTTAGTAAAATGTCTTCTTTAATAATTAACTTGTATTTGGTTATATTGACAACTACTTGATTCTATGAAGGGTTAAATGATAATATCCTTATATTTCTTTCATAATTTTCTATTAAATATTAACACACACATACAATTCTTTAACTAATTATACATTACATGCATTTTGATTGATAAAAACTTGTCAAATCATTTATTGTACTTCTTTCTTTTTATTCCCCCCCCCCACCCTTCCCCAATACAATTATTATTAAATACAATTTAAAGTTACAATTTTTCAAGAGAGAGAGAGAGAGAGAGAGAGAGCGAGCGAGAGAATATAAAAAAGGGAGGGACGATGATGATCGTAGAAAGGCAAAAGCATATGAATAAACAAAGGGACCTTAATGTCTTTTGAATTATTTAGGTGTACATTCGGGATGATAAGCGAGCTTCATCGAAACCTTACCAAAGATATAATTTAACGTGTATACACTTGCTATAACGTGGCATATATATGTCAATGTAAATGTATAATAATGATGTGTGTGTGTGTGTGATACGGTTCTATACACGTTCACGTTAAACGACAGAGATGAGAGGAACACTATAACGTAAGCGGCTCACGTATGAGACGATGTAATGTTCGTGTAAAGTAGAAACTTACTTTCAACCAGCTATACAATAAAGTTACAAACTGTTATGCGAATGTATCCACCAAGCACATAAAAGAAGAGTAAGCTACTTTTGCAAACGGCCAGCTTTCTCATACGATTATATTCCTGATCCTTCTATTACAGCTTCGTGTAAAACAGAAAAAGAGATCAAATAAAAGTATCATTTTTTGTTGTTGCTTTGATTAGTTTAGTTTAGTTTAGTTTTATTAACGGACCACCATGTAGGTTATTTATATAAAATATATTTGTTCATTGAATTATTTCACAAACAAAGTCAAGGTAGATACAAAAACACATTATATATGTAATAAGTTATTTCCTTTTTTCACAATTTTACTCGAGTATAAAAATAATAACATTCATAAAACAATAGTATTATGTGGAAAAATGGTTCTACGAAAAACTAAAGATAAAATCTTTATTATCGGGTATTACGTTCATTACAACTACCACATACACATATATACCTAAAATTACTATCATCATCGTTATTATAACTATCGTCATCACGATACAATTATAATAATTATTATTATATTGATATAATTAACATTAACATATATTACAATACTATTGTTCAGGATTCATTTCAACAAATTCATGCACGCATAAATTATAAATAAGCGCAATTAATTGTACAATTAAATTGATAGTAAGGTCGTATTGCTGTAAAAAATTTTTGCTCTGCGTAATCGAAATCTCATTTAATTAACTTTTAGATCAAATAAATCAAAGAAAAGAAAAGACAAATCTGTTTTATATCAAATTCTTTTTCTTGTTCTGTTATTTTATTTTATTTTTTTGTTTTGTTTTTTTATAAAAAAACATGAGCATATTTTCAAAGAAGAAACAATTATATTACGTAAATATAATGTATCCATTATTCTTACATCCCAGAAACTTCCTACTACATATTACACCAGTTAATTACTACTTCGCACCGTTGCTTCCGACCATATAAATTCATTGTTGGACGATTTACAAGCATAGTCAGCAAAAAGATTTCAACTGTCAACGTTAGTTTCATTTTGATTGTTATTCCAAAGTCTAATAAATACGATATCAACGAAATCAAAGATGAAGGGACTCAAGATCATAACTTCTGTGTTATTACTCGCTGTAAGTAGGATAACTTTTTTTTTTTTTTTTTTTTTTTTCTACAAATTCTTATTGAAAATGATTTTCTATTAGGTTATCTGCACGGCTGACGAAACGGAGGAAATTTTAAAGGAGCTAGAAAAATACGAGAGCGAATGTCGCGAGGAAAATGGAGTGTCAAAAGGTAAGATGAAGATACGTAGAATATTTCCAAAAAAATACAGTTATATGAGCATTAACAACCATACAAATATTTCTTATATGTACTTTGTTATATTTTTAGAAGAAGGAGAAAATCATCTTAAGAAACTTTGCGCCAATGAAGAAATAGAAAAGAACGTTGGCTGTTACATGGCTTGTTTCCACACAAAAATTGGCGCAGTACGTACAATTATTACCACAATATTATTTACATAATATAACCAAATGTTGAAATGTATTTGTGTGTGTGTGTTTGTTTTTAGATGAAAGATGGGGAAATTTTAGTAGATAGTATTAAAGAATCTTTAATACCATTGATAAAACATGAATCCGCAAAGAATGAATTATTAAATAAGTTGGACACTTGCAAAGCTGAAAGTAAACTGACCATTTTATGATTTTATAATGAATTTCTTTTTAATAACAAAACTTGTCATTTATTAATTTGCTTTTTATCTTGACAGTTTCCACGGAAAGCGATGATTGCGACAAGACGGTTGAATTTACAAAATGCCTGATTAAAGGATCGGAATTGTGCAAACATATTCTCGAATAGTTATATTAATTATAATATGATTTTTCCGTCGATATGCTAACATCACAATCTAATAAGATAAATGATCCAATGCATGTTACAGTAAATAATTTGTAATAGAGTCAGATAATACGTAAATGACCAAATAAACCTAATAAATCAAAGTAGCAAAAATTATTTCCGATTTGCTTCCATACTTCCAAATATTATAATAATCTATAAAAAGTTTTCGATTTAATTAACGTTATAATAGCTTACTTGTCTCGCATTGATGGTTTCTGAAATCAGTTTATCTTGCAGTAAGTCGTAGCGGTTCAGACCTCTTCGGTTCGCCTCGCTCCAAGTGACGGATAACTTTGTTAGTTACCGTAATTCAATCGAGTTGTCTGCCTCTATATAAAAGCTTCCCACCATATATGTCACGTTGCTAACATACCCAACATATCGAGCTATCTACAATTGGATACTATCTTAGAAAAATCTTCGACCAGTTGAATGATGCTGAAAATGTTTTAAATGCTCTCGATTATCAGAGATATCTGGTATCCACCAGGATAGGTACCAACCTATTGCTTGGTTTGTTAAACGCAAACGAGGGAAGGCCCCCTCGACCACAATGGAATTTCCAAATTCTACGTTAAATTAGCATCGCTCGAATTCCAGCACGGGCTTTCTAAGTTATGGGACATAAGCCCATAACCAGAAAGAGCCCTCCTTCTACCCACCCTGTCGTAGTGCGTAGTCCTAGTGCGCATGTACATCGACAAAATAGTACATCAGTAAGTCATTTTCCTTTTTTTCGATACTTTTGTCTAAAGTCTCCTTCAAAAGCGAGATAATTAATGCGAATTCGTGATTAATTATCTCGGAATCCGCGTTGTTCGCGAGTTTGAAATTATAAGACTAACTCCATACCTCCCTTCGTCCACCCTTATCCGTCCCATTTAGGTAAGTTTATACTTACTTATGCATATCGATCTGACCGGATGAAGAACCGGATGAAGAACCGGATGATTTATTACTTATATCATCTCCATGATGGAAGATGATGATAATAATGCTTGAGCGTAGATCCATTGTCTCTTTATAATTAAAACGATAATACATTTAAATTTAAAGTTTGACGTAATTGTTTGTATACATTTTTGGACGAATTTAAGTCGAAGAATGCAGCGATGAGTTTTTAATGAATAATAAAAGGAAGAAAGAGAATCGCGAAATGTCGGATCCCGAATAACTGTAGAGACACGTTGTATGTACATATATATATGTAAATATATATGTACACTATATACGTACACGGTGGTCTGGCACTTTCGAAGCTATGGGGAAATACGGTGGCGAGCATAAACGCGTCCGGGCAATTTATCGAGCAGGTTACACGAGAGCCCGTGTTACAAGTACGCGTTTTCCGTGATATATGTGCATCGTGCAAGCTTGTAACGGCGCAACACTTTTGCGTCTGTGTTGGTAAATGTACAACAAGCATATACAAACCGTGTCTCGAAAGTTTCGAACCATTGAGAAAAACTAATAAAAGTTCATCATATCGCTAAATTCATTTCTAACTAATGAAATATCGTATTGTTCCGTAATGTTCGTTTTCGATTTTAAATCCAAAAATATATTCAAGAGTAAAAAATACTTTTTCATCTAATAATAATAGTATATTTTCTTTAAATACAAAAATAAGCATCGAATAAATAACTTGAATAATCAAAATTGGACAAAAATTCTATACTATTGTAAAATGTGAACTAAAAGTTCAATCCGCATTTGGGAACACAAGAAGGGGGGATTACAATAGTAACGATAACAGGAAACATCAGAGGGCTCAAAGTTAGGTGCCGAAAACGACAGCTAATAAACCTAACTCCTATAAAGAGACGACAACATATCCCATGAACCTTGAGATCATTTTCCAAAACTCTCTCTCTCTCTTCCTCTCTCTCTCTCTCTCATGCTGGAGGCATTTCGAGCACGAAAATTTTCGGCCATAATAATTTGCCGGCGGTACGATTACGAGCGATCATAAAATTAAGGGGACGATTCGTGGACTCTGGACCCTTTTCGTGCAATTTCATTCTATCTCTCTCACTCCTCATTCTCTCTCTCCTTCTAGTAAACTTCCACGATGAAAATTTGGCAACAAAACCCACCCAACCACCAACCGACGATCTGTATGTATACATATACGTACTAATATTTACTTATATACATGGTATGTACATAATATATTGATCTCCTTTTTATTTATTTTCCCAGCATTTTCCACGATGAATGGTCTTTTATAAGCGTCATAAACCCCTTTCGCAATTTCGATCAGTACAGCTAATATAAAGGTGCCTTTTTCGTTCAATCAAAATCAATGAATTTAACGTGAAGATTTCAATAGCGATAGAAAATAAAGAAGACGTGGGACAAAAGTGTGCAAAATGTAGAAAAAATAAATAAAATAAGTATGAAAGTTAGTTTCAACGATCTTGGATTATTTTGAAGAGTTATGTCGAAGAGAGTATAGCTGCGGGAGGTCCATGCCCTCTCCGTGTCTCTCCGAATCGATTTTAGGCGCATGGACCACCATAGTCGAGTATCCCGTGTGCAAGGCCATCGTAGTTGAGAATAAACCTCCTGTGTCCTTGTCTAATTTTGATAAACTTGCTCACTCCTTCATTCGTATCTTTCCGAGTATATATTTAATATTTCATAACGCACGCTATTCTCAACATAAATAATAAATGGTGTTTGTTAGTTAGTTAGTTTGAGGAAACAAACAAAAATACAAAAATACAAAAATACAAAAATACAAAAAGGCGAGAAAGTAATTCGATCTTTCAAAGAGAACAAGGAGATCAACGTACTTAACTTACTTACCAGTTAAACTACGATAAGTTATCTTGTATCCAACAGATAAGTGAGCTTCTGAATCATCATCATTGTGTATTTTTTCTAATACATATCGTTGAACACCGATAATATATTTATCGAATAACTCGGCCAATCGAAGGAAACATCTTTGAGAAGACACGACGTGGACTTTATAAAACTAATTACTACTTATTCATCATCTTCTTCTTCTTCGTCTTTGTCTTCGTCTTCGTCTTCGTCTTCTTCTTTCTCATCGTTTAGAAGATAGTAATCTGATCTCCTTGTGTTAAAGATAGTAATCTGATCCGTTCCTAACACATCAAGGAATTTGCTTCGTCAATGGGATCACGAAAAGATATCAAAGAGGATACACCTTGTGTTATATCTAAATACAATTAACCGTTTGACTGCAATGAACGCGTATAATACGTGGTGTGTCAAAATGAATGTAAAATTATATGAGAAAAAAAGCTTGTATTATTAAATAGAATTTATTATTAGAATAAATATACAAATTTTGTTGAATTAATGAATAAAATAATCGCATAATTCAATGTAACCAATACAAATTGCAGCTATAAATAGAGCAAAAAGAAAGTTTGTTAGATGAAAAGATATTATACTCATGATTGTTATGATGGTTAGGGTGTAGAAAAAGTGGAGGATCAAACAAGGCGTTTATGGCGTGGCATTTATGGACAATAAAAATTTGGCAAACCGTAGAAAAATAGGCAATGCTGTTTCTCTGATCCATGGTGTTGTATCGTTTCACATGGTCACACTCGTGCTTTCGAAATGGTGCTTAAAGCCGCAGGCCATACACATCCGAACGGCCACTTACTTTTATTAACGCGCTTTATCGTTTTACGATACCCCTCCCCTTGCCATTATTACACCGGTAACCAACCTAGTGCGATGCTTTTTCCAATTTTTATTTTCTCTCTTATTAAGAATTAAGATTTAAGAGGTTAAAAACAAAAGAAAAAAAAAAGAAAAAACAAATGGAATAAGACTCACTCGGCGGTAGTTATCGATCGAAGGGGATTAATCGAAACTTTCGATTCTCGTATTTTCTCTCTCTTTCTCTCTCTCTCTTTCTCTTTCTCTTTTACGACCTTAATTCAGAGTTATACGTCTGCGAGATAATCTCAAAGACGGATAAAAGCTAATTCGGGAAAGAAATATTGCCTATCTTTTCTCCGCATATATGTGTAATACATTATCGAGGTTATCCAACTACGTTTCGACGGTATTATTATGCGTAAATCTTGTTCCTGATTCGATAAAGTCGCCTAATTTTTCTTTACCTAACGTATCATAACGTATCACGATTGGCCAAGAAAAATAATACGTATCTTTTAAAGGGACATTTTTATGTTTTACCGAAATACCGTTGGAATATACGAGTATACTTATTTGATTTATTTTTTATTATTATAGTTGCACATTTAACAACAAAATGAAAATAACAATTTAACACTCTACATATTATTCCTAATATTGATTTGTTATTTATTTTTATCTAGATAATAAAAACAAGAGAGAAAATATTCATGTAACAACGATACTTTTGTAAAGCGTACTAACGCGTATTATTTAGGTAGAGAAGCTTATCTGAAGCTTGAGCGTAGCAACGTTGACGATAAGAAAAATACTTTCGTGCAACAAGGTAAGTATGTATCAACAGTACGGATAGAAAAGGATAAAAGTTTATCTTATCCAGGTCTATGGCTACTGGTGTTGATTTTCTGCATCCTCGTAGGTTTTTTTCTCTCTTCTACTGAGCTGCCTAAGTTATTTCACGATCACTCAAACTCAACTTAAACACGAAACTGTTGAAAAAAGAATGAAAAATTAATTTGATATATTTCTAAGCAGTCAACAATGTGTGGTAATTAAAACGACTTCTTCTTTTGATATCGAAACGATACTATTAGACACACTTTGATAGCTGCTAGTCGACTGATTTATGAAAGTAAACTATTCGTTTCCTCGTTCGATTCCATTGGCAGAGTTTGATCAAACAAATAACATGTTGCTCAGTTATGCAAAGTCTTGCCCACAATAACCTGACTAACATATCTCCTAGTCGTCCTCGTCAAACAGACCAAATGCGTTCAATTCGCGTAGGTTCCAAATTTTTCTAACGCCTACGATGGAAAAACGGGTTTCTTCTTTAACTCTGATCGATACTATTACACATATGTAAATGTGTAATGTGTGTACGTGTATGGTGTGTATAAGAATTAACCATTCACTTTTGCAATGAGATATTTAGTTCATTTAATTAATACATTTAAGAGAGCAGTTGAACATAATCCCTTCTTTAGGGTTCATTCTCTCGTTACGAGATTGAGGGAGAGAAAAATTCTATTCGAGCAGTCAACAATGCGCCGATTAATCGTATCAAACGAAAAGTACCTTCAGTTAACTTCGATTACTTTTCTTTTGATCTAATTACTCTACTCTTTGTTTCTTTTTTATATTCTATAACTAACTTTGATATCAAGTGGCCAGAGATAATGAGCCCTTTTAAGTGTTCCTTGTATAATCTTGATTAAAATAATAACAATTATTCAAAATTTATAAATTTATGTTGAGAAAAAAAAGAAAAAGAACAAGAAAACACTCGATTATGAAATTGATGGCGTCAGCAATTACGTTAGATTAACGAGGTAAGCAGTTCTAGGAGAAACGTGACCCGTCAACACCTGACACACGACTACCTGTCGGTTTCTTGCACCTTCTAGTTCACCTTTAGTGAACTCCAAGTAAACTCGTCGAAGGTCAGAACTAGTTGCGCGTGGCCATTTGTCACACCGTTTAAATATTCTCTGTTACACACTCTTTTTAAACTTCTTCAACAAAGAGAGAGAATCTTTGTTCATTATCGTTCACGAACACAGACAAGAATGTGCTCTACAAACAAAAATTAATAATAATAGTAATAAGTTAATAATTGAATAATTATTGAAAGAGAGATGTGATAGATTCGAGAAATGAATTCTTTCTTCTCTAAATTTATAGAGTTCTCATTTTTTACTGATATATTATAATATTCAAAGAGACATTGACATTAGACCTCCACCCGAACGTATCCAGCAGCCAATCAATACCTACATGAATAATATATAGATTCTCTTTTGTCTCTAAATCAATTGAAATCTAATGAAAAATCTAATTAAAAGATTAATGACTTATAGTTTCTTGTTTATTTCAAGTTTCTATCAAAATAATCTGTCTAAAATTGATATTTCATTGTTAAATTACAATCTCTCTCTCTCTCTCTCTCTCTCTCTCTTTCAAATCGTGCTCAAAAAGTCTCTCTTTCTCTAATCGTCACATTCATATACAAATTGAAATTGAATTGAAAGATTCTATTAAAATGATGATGGTCTGTTCGATTCTTCAATTAGACAAAAAGATATTTACTTTTTCTGTTCCATCATAACTACATAGATATTTATCTGCTTTTAACAGAGCGATATTTTAGACTCGTTAAAAGACTCGTGAATGTCTTTCTTGTTAAATTGATCAAAGCAATGATGCAACGTGTCAAAGGCTGCCGAAGACGAACTCAACAAACAATTCTGATCAAGAAGAAAGAGACGAAACTAATTTTCAACGTAAATTAATCAAATCTTTCCTAAGAAATTCATACATTCTGAAGATCGTTCATCACCCTTTTCGTAATTTATAATTAATATACTGAAGAGCGAGCGAGCGAGCGAGAGAGAGAGATCAGGAACGCATATTCTCAGAATTCCATACGTGTATACACATACTTAAATACTTACGTATTCCCATACATATATACTTGAAATACTTGCTAACATGAGTCACTTCTGAGAAGCCTTGCGTATCACCAAAGATGTGAATTTAAATGGAAATGGAATGATCGGTGTCTCTCTTCGATATGGGAATTCGGAGCAATGAACGTTCCTTCTTCCTCTTGTCCTCCTCTTGTCCTCCTCTTGTCCTCCTCTTGTCCTCCTTTTTCTCTTTTTTCTTGGCTCTACGTCCAGTCGCATAACTTTCGCCGAAAATAATTTTACTTAAGCGCTTCACAATTCTCATTTTAATTTATAACACAACTTCATGCAATTTTTCAAACGATTGTCAAATTGTATACTTTTTTCAACTTAGACTTGATTCATTTCTGTTATATATCAAACAAAATGTAATTATTTTATTCTGTTTTACTTATTTGATTTTATTTTCCCACGCACTTGCCACAATCCTATTCCTTTCTTTGACAATAAATTCTCATTGTTTTATTTATTTATTTTTTAAATAAATTATTAATAAAAATGTGAGTCATAAGCGATCAATATAACACCTTACCTAATGATAATAATAATAATAATTACAATAATAATTACTACGTAAATGTTTTGAATTAACTCCCGTTTTATACTTATTGTATTGTTAATGTTTTTTTTTTTTTTTTTTCAAATAATTACATATAGAATAAAAAAGAAATAAACAGCAAAATCTATTGTAAATAATGGTGAAAGTTATATACAAAGCGATACCTTTGCTGCCACCTACCTATCATCTAAGAAGACAACAATATTCGATAACTTGACATGGATATAAACGTAAAATAATATCAATAATTATAATATGAACTTAAGATAAAAACCTTTTGAATACCTTTTAATAGGAAGGAATGTGTCATCCGAGATAAATCGATTGTACAGATCTTGGCCTCGTTCGATCGATGCTCTTCGCGCATACATAGACACACAACTTACATATATATATATATATATATATTATTACATACGTAAACACACCATCTTTATAAATCCCACTCCCACTGGAATTTAAAGCCACATAATACGTTTTTCTTTCTAATCGTTTTATTAATCAAGTTAATATTTAAAACGTTTCATTTAAATCATGAGAAAGATGTTTCTAACGAGTTACTTTTTACGTGACTTGTATATCTCTTGGACTCACCTGAGATGACAGTACTGGCGGCCATATTGACAACTTACGAAATAAGCGTTTTTGAATTTTCATTGAATATTTTTGAACGTTCTTTACTCGATTTCTTCTTATTTTATAATGTTACATTAATCCAAATAATTAGGATATCTCAAGTATTTATTGATTTATGAATGAAAAATAATCATTCGAAAATCGAGTCTCATCATAGAGCTGAAGAAAATGCCGCGATTTTCGAATTACACGTGTGACAAATGAAAATGGCGCGTACTAGCATTGTGACGTACATGTAGTACTGCATATTTCAAAATTAATCTTTAACAATGATTTAAATTGACAGTATTAAATAAAAATATGTTCAATCGGAGCAACGATTTATCGCGGCGTTACGTAAATCAATATTACAAATATAAGACAAAGATGGATGATAAATAATGTCGTGCTTACCAATGACAACATCGTCCCCTCTTCTTCTTTTTATGGTATTTTAAAGGTATTTATATGCAAATAATCTTGTTCGTATCTCAACGATAGCATAACACTTCTTAATGACACAATAGAGTTATTCAAAAATAATAGATTATGTAAACAAATTGCACTCGTTGTTTGTTTTACGGTTTTACGGTGGTATCGTTAAAAAACATAATATTCGCAAACTTCAAGGTCGTTAAGAAACAGGCGAGAAAGGTAAAATACCGCGACACCTGTTGCACTGACACGCGCACGCACCAAAAAATGTACATGAACTGTTTAATGACTGTGTATTACTCACTTACTACTGTGTTCTTAATGCGACATCTACACCGATTGATGCACCATCTATTAATTTGACATGTACTATCTTTCCGTAATGGCGAAACTTTTGAATACATTTTTCTTTCAAGTTTAATATATAAATAGAAAAGCATATGTATATGCATATTGTTATTGTTTAAACAATATAGTATATGCATTATTGTATAAATTATATATTCACTGGTGAAAAATCAATTATCTTAATTTTTGGCAATATTATATTTACTTATCATTCCATTTATTTTCTATAATAAAATTTTAATGTATTTATATTATAAAATACATTAAAAATATTGATTATTCGATATAGTAATGAAATATTACGAAGGGAATGTTATAAAAAAAAGACTAGATTAATCAATAAAATAAATATACTTATTATTAATCATTTTTTAGGGCAACGTAAGCAGACCCATGTTTTAGAAGGCGTGTGCCTCTGTTTCAGCGAATCGTTATAAGGTATGTGCCAATGACCATTTTGATTGTGCATAAAAGAATCATACGATATAGGCTCTATTAAAGTACTCATTTTGGTTACATTATTATAATACCAAGTATATTGATGACTAAATTGCCACCGTATAAAGTCTTTGTGTAGGTTAAATTTTTTGAGCTTATGATGATGTTGTCGCATTTGATCGATAGAAATAAATTTCGAATTATTTCCACTAGCTAATGTTGCATATAAAATAAAAGGATCATCCTGTGTGCTATAAAATATAAAATTTTAAAAATATAAATATATATATATATTAAAGATAGGAAACACACTGTATATGGCAAGCAACTATGTGTATTAAATCATAGTGCAAGGGATTAGATCCACAAGTTATTTCTTAGTAACATAAATAGAACTTACATATCTTGAAGGAAATAAACATATACGTTATCCCGATTAAACATCCATTTGCTGACTTTATATTGATGTTTTCGTGTAATGATCAAAACTTTTTTACCTTCTGCAGTAAATTTGTCTACTATGTGTTCCATCTATATATGGATAAAAAGTAATGATATTAATGGTTATTATTATTATTATTATTATTATTATTATTGTCATACTTGTACACTTACCATTTGAGCCTTGTTTAATGCTACATTAAGACCATCTACCACAATGTCAAATGGTTGGAATTTTCTAATAAAACTTTTAAATTTTTTAAATTCTAATGGAGAGGTCCTTTGAAAAATATCTTCACCTATTATTATGTTAGAAATGATAGCTTCAGATAGTTTGCTAAAATTATTTTTTAAAGTAATCGATGGTAAATAATTTTGGCAATGACTACATTGACCACTGCAATGAAATAAATATTGATTATTAGTCTTACATATTTGAGTCAAATAATATACTAATATATTAAAAGTAGTATATCATACTCAGTTGAAATCTTAACATAATGTCCCTCCCATCCTGATTTTATACAAACATCTACAAATATATCGATAACAGATTTTACTGGTATAACATCAAGTTTCTTCCAAAAATGAAACATTTTATGAATCGCATCGTTCAATTTTTCTTGTTTATTTTGCAAATAATAATTTAAATATATATTGTATATAGTTTTCCTCCCATGAACATAATCCTTATTAGTTTCTATTTCTTCTAGAAATTCAAATCCGATCTTTGGTGTCCCATTTTTAAATGCTGCCAGTACTATACAGGATAACGTGGCACAAGTAATATCTTCCATTGTACCATTAACTTTAATTAAATCAATGGCCGTTTTCCATTTGCTAGTCAGACATAAAGCATGAACGCAAGTCATCAAAATCGGAGTAGGTAAACATTCATAATCCTTCTGTATCTTATTGCATATATTTATAATATCTTCCTGTATATCATTCGATATTGGTATTTTTCTTGCGTTAATTACTTGCAGATATTTTATTAGAATAAAATTATTCATAGGATAATTCTTGCTTTTTAAATATTCGAAGTAAAATTTAGCGGTTTCAAATTTATCATACATTATACATGCTTCCAAAATCTTAAGGTCGACACTTTTTTCTGGTATCAAATGTTTATTAATGATGTCATTGCGTATATTTAAAAATAAATCCTCGGATGGATTAATCGTTTCAAACAATGAGGATAAAGTTTGTTTTATATTCAATAAAGTATCAACTTTATTTGGATTATTTTGTATACTTTTGTTGTAGTGTCTTTCCTTGGGTAACGATTCCTCAGTTATCTTTGTATTATGAACCTTATTCATTATTTGTCTGTTCACTACATTTCTGTGGCGTAAGAAAATTCTTATTGATGTTTTAATAAATTCCATTTCCTAGAAAATAAATATGTATATCAATATTATTAAAAAATCTACTAAGATAATTGTCCATAGGTTATGGAACAATAGCATGGGTCAAAAGTAGTAACTTTTTGCATAGCAAGCAAATTCCCTATTTTATTATTTAGTATTTTTTTGTAGAATTTATACAATCATTACTATGACAATAAATGAGTAAAAAAAGAATAGTCTTTTCTTATTAGCTTATTTAATCATATTAAATTGCTCAATTCGATAAAAGTGTAATTTAATCTCTCGCATCATATTGATATTTTTAGATAGTTTTTCGAAGTAACGTTGCCTTCGTGGGAAGATCTAGGAAAGTTTTGTAGAAAGTACGAAATGCATATTTCCTTTCAGTCAGTGTTGCCGTTCACGCATGCGCACTACCTAATCCTCAGTAACATATTATATTTCACTCAAATATGGGGTATCGTTAGACCCCCGTGACAATTGAAATACGGCAGAAATTACAGAAAGAGGACATTTTTAAAAGAAATAACATATTTACATAACAATTTAATATATTATATAATATTACACGACTCACTATCACTTTAACGAAAAACGCAGGAAACCATTGGGAAATACCCCTTACGCGTACCTACTGTTGCACATAGATACGTCAGTGAAAGCAATCACCGTCGAGCTGTGACGTCCGCATGCGCATGCGCACGAAGGTTCCCACGTGGGAGAAATCCTACGTCCTGGTATCACTGCTTTCAGTATGGCGAAGTTTAACGTGAGTGTTGTGTCTTTCGTTACATAACTAATAATTACTTGTGAGAGAATGAGACCTGAATAAAAAAAAAAAAAAAAGAAATAAAAGAAAAAGAAAGAAAAGAAAAGAAAAGAAAAGAAAAGAAATAGAAAAAGATACGTAACGCGAAGAATAGTATAAATTTGAGAAATCTGTATACATAAATTGAAATCGTGGAAGAAAATAAAGAAAATAAAGGAAGCGACAAGACGGTGAAGAACGATTCATCTTTGTTGTTAGACATTGGTAATACGAAGACAGTGCCTATCGCGGATCAAGAATTATGCCAAAGATTGGAGACGTACATCGCTAGTAGTACCGGCGAGGATGCTGTTGCAATTGAAGTTAAAGAAACGGTAACGAACATTGACGCTAACATGTCGAAGATTCAAGCGAATAATACAACAGGGACTAATCCTATCCTGCCAACGCTTAGTCGTTTCAAGTACGAATATTTTGTCGCCGGTATATCCGGTGGCGTTGTTTCGACATTGACCCTTCATCCATTAGATCTAATCAAAATTAGATTGGCAGGTGAGCATTAATATCCATTATCATCTACCTACTTATTTATTCAATATCAAACAAAACTATATATATATATATCTATTTTATTTGATTCTTATGTTTATCAACACTCTAGATTATGCATTATGTATGAAATAAGTATAGATATAATTCTTAGAACAATTAAAAAGAATGACGTTTATTTTTTGCATAAATCGATCGATAAAGACGCGGCAATCTTTAATAACAATTCTGCTGTTAGGTTAGAAAGAAGAAAAAAAAAAACGTTGTGCATTTAAATGTAAACATTATTTATCTTCTTTTCTAATTGTGATGTCAATCTCACGTGCTGTTTTCGTCAGAAAAGACTCACGCGTATATTATTTTCGTCGTCAAATTTCTTGGCCGATTACCAAACAGCGAGAAATTTCGCATTATTATTACATCAGATGCACGTGAAAACTACTGACCTCGTGAGATTATAACATTGTTTCTTTCTTTTGAAAGCAACAAAAGTGAAAGTCCATCATAACAAACGATTGTATTTGCAAACTACTACAAATATTTCATTGATTTTCATTAGAAATTAAATTGGCGATATAATTATTGATAAATGAAACTTTCCAATTTTCTAGATAAGAAGGAACAAAAAAATGATGTATTTAAGAAAAGCCAATGTTGCAATAAGACAACTTACTTGGTGCTATGCGATAAACTTCATTGACACGTGATAATGGAGAATCGATTTATTATATACATTTTTCATTGTAACATAACATTCTAATTAGACCGTAGTTATCTTTTGTTGTTCATGACATATTATTATTGTTTTCATTGTATAAGGATCAAATAGAATATAGAAAAAATAAAGTAAAAGATAGAAAATGCTAGATTTATTAATTATTATTATTATTATCATTATTATTATTATTTGATTGTAAAATCGTTAATTTAGTTAACGATGGACGTGCATCAGTACCACAATACAACGGTATAGTAGATGCCTTTAAGCAGATTGTAAAAAGCGAAGGAATACGTGGATTCTACAGAGGAGTTACACCAAATGTCTTGGGATCAGGTTGCTCTTGGGGATTGTATTTTTTTTTGTAAGCAATTATTTCTTGATATTTTCTATAATAATGTATAAACGGTTTAAATACGTGTGCTTATGATGTATATTCATCTTTTACAGTTACAATAATATAAAGACATGGATTCAAGGAGGAAATTCAAAGAAACCATTAGGTCCATCTATGCATATGTTGGCAGCTGCGGATGCAGGATTACTAACCTTATTGATGACTAATCCAATATGGGTAGTGAAAACACGGTTGTGTTTACAATACGTTGAGGATAAAAATCTTGCTGAATGTAAGAAATATAAAGGAGTAACCGATGCTCTTAAAAAGATCTATAGAACTGAAGGCATCAGAGGTTTATACAAAGTATGTCTTACAATATTCGAATAGAAAAAAAAATATCTTGCTGATAATATGCCATTGAATGATTGATTATATACAGGGTTTAGTTCCTGGAATGTTTGGTGTATCGCATGGAGCCATACAGTTTATGACGTATGAAGAAATGAAAAATCAATACAACGTGTACCAGAATTTACCTATCGATACAAAGCTAGTAAGTTTTTTTCAGATGTAATGTTATTTGAAAAACTAATGATCACTGATTGACTACTCTACAGATGTGCTGCGAGTAAAATATTTACCGTCGAGTTAGCTTATGTTATAAAACAAACAACTCAAACAAACTTCTAAATGTAAACTTGTAAACTTTGATTTTCAGAATATGTTCGAGTACATCCTTTTTGCAGCTGTTTCTAAAGTGATTGCCGCTGGTGTGACGTATCCTTACCAAGTACTAAGGGCACGCTTGCAAGATCATCATGTTGACTACAGAGGAACATGGCACTGCATTCAGGTGACATGGAGGTCAGAAGGATTTAGGGGTTTTTATAAAGGCTTATCGCCTTATCTTATACACGTTACGCCAAATATCTGCGTGATATTTTTCGCTTATGAAAAATTTACCGTATAATTTTCTCTTTCGAAAAATATCCTATTGATATCAGCTCTGTAAATGTCTAATTCTATTGCTTAAATGGCGGAAGGATCTACTATTCGCTAATTTTTCTCAGTTGCTTGATCAATAAGAAAACATACAATTGTTCGAATTAAATCGTGATTACTTTTTTTTTTTTATTTATTTGGGCAATATTAGATTTTTGTAGTCCTCTATTTTTATCTATTTTTGTTTTCTTCTTTTGAATCGCGCGCACAGAATTTTTTTAATAATTATATAAAAAGAAAGGTATCAGTATTAATATCACGTAAATATCTTTTGTTTCTAACAAGTAGTCTTTTTAAACGCTCACAACACACACATGCAAACACACATGCAAACACACACACACACGCACACAGTGCACTTCCGTACGTGGATGCTTCTGTCATAGCGCATTAGATTTTAACGATTATAATAAATATCAGTGGTATTAAACATTAACTGTCGATTCTTAATATGAATGTATATGAATTTAGGATTTCGAACGAAGTGTGATATTATAAAAGCATTCGAATAGTTTAATTTTCTTAGCATATACAGAGAGAGAATATAAAATAGAATTTCGAGCGAAGTAAACGATGACGATGACGATCATATAAAAAATGTTTTCAATAATCACATTGATATGAAATGATAAGTTGTTTTATTCATGACATAACAATTATACGTCTCTCGGCACGCTATTTATTTCCGGTTGTAAAAGTTGAATTAATTAGTATGTTGTGTGTAAACACACTCAGCAAACACATCCACACACATACATACACACATACACACACTGATCGAGATAATAACAAATAATTAAATCAATTTTCTATCCTTCTATTAATAATTATTAATTACAAATGCTGCGAAAAATTGATTGGTGTTTTGCGGATAAAAAAAAAAAATAAGAAAGGAAAAAGAAACTGAGATGTTATTCTCAAATTTTTGATATTATCATTCTGACTTATTTTTAGTTTAAGATAAGAAGATGGTATTATCAATTGTAAATAGTATATGCCATTACTGTTTCATCATACTTGTGCATATAAAACTTTAGGTAATTTTAGATAATAAGAATGGCATAAGTTTTTGAGAAAATGTGATAGCATATGCTAGCAAAAATAGACAAATACAATACACTAATATAGATTTTTATTTATTCATTTGTATTATTTTAACAGTTATTTTGAGAGAGACTGGTAATTATAATTATTATATAGAGTAAAAATATGGATAATATTTTAGTTTTTATCACATTTCTGAAAAATGAAACATAAATGTTTTAATAAAACATATAAATGTTAAACTCGGACAATCTTTTTCGCTAATATATAACTATATATGTAATAATGTACTTTAACCAAAGTGAAGCTTACATTTAAATTTTGTTACATATTGCAATTTGTAATTACTTTGGAAAATGATTTAAGCGATGCACCTTTTATTTTATAGGAATGAGATAAAATGAGAGAGCGAGAAAGAACTTAACTACTTTACTTATTATAATTACAAAAAAGAAAAGATAAAGCAATAATAATAATAATAATAATAATAATAATACTAATACTAATAGTAATAATAGTAATAATAATATGCTTTTATTTCCAACTAAACTGGTTTTAGTTGACAATGTTTCAATTACACACAAAGGGAATAATTAGGAAATTATAGCAATAACAACGATTATTTAATTACAAGAATGAAAAACTTAGAAGGCATAGGATGCGTATGAAAAGTAATGTGAATAATATAATTGCGAAAATAATATGAATTATTTCGTTTGTCAATGCAATCGATTTTTATTATCTGTTTTTTTTTTTGTTCTTTGCCGTATAGAGACACTAAAATAAAACCAATTTTACACAAATTTAGTTTAGTAAGATTAATAATTCTTTTAAATTCATGATTCGCGATGTATTTTTGTTACATATCTTATTAAAGTTGTTTTTTTTTTTTTTTTTTATCTAAATTGAACGTTGCTTTTAGTTCGTTGATTTTTGTTAATTAGAATTGTGATAAAAATTTTATTCACGTTCGTGTGTTATTATTAAACGTAACTATGCGATGTAATAACGCATAATTTGATACGCGATAATTTTTGGTAAAATAAAATAGACCTTAACGACACAGAAACAAAATATATTAGAAAAACACCGTATATGCTTGTGTTTAATTAGAGTCTGGTACTCTAAACGTATGTATGAAGCAATATGATTCAACGTTACGGTCAATGAATTACACTTGCGGGTACATACTAGAATGAATTTATTTATATCTCAATTTTCATAGATTTAACTGAAAGTTTAGTTTATAAAAAAGAGAACGTAGAAAATAGATAAAATAAAAAAAAAAAAAGAAGAAGAAGAAGAAGAAGAAAAAGAAGATAAATGCACTTAAGGCGAGAAGACATCCATATTAAATTTAATTGAATACTGTGAAAGGATCGAATAAAATGTTGTACTGTGTTGCAAACATTTAACTTTTGGCTTTAAATTGGCCATTTTACGTGAATCTATACATATATACACACATACATACATACATACATGATACATACGTACATGAAATCGTTATCTTTTTAATTACAAGCACACATCCCAATTATTTGTATTGTTTAAATATAAAAAAAGATGGATGACGATGAAAAAGAAAAGACGAAGGAGAAAATAATTCAATCTGTAATCTCGAAATGCTTTATTTATGCAATATAATTATTCGACGAAGTAGCAAATTACGGGACAAAATAAAAACGCATTTTTTGTATATTCTTTATCTTTGATATATGTATATCCACTTATATATTATCTCAAAGTGTTAGAGAATATATATATATAAATCGTATAAAACATTATTTGTTACGTCTATATGTAAAGTAAAATGTAGCTTAAAAGTATTGGTGGATAAAAGTATTGAAAATATTTAATCCGTTTCCAGGTGATGATGATGTATTGTTTTTTTTTTTCGATAAATGTGATCACGTGTTGCGTTTAAAACAAAATACGTACATACATATTTTCTTGTGTATCCTTTAATTGAATAAAATCGACGTAGGGACATATACGTAAAAAATGAACTAGTATCAACAACAAAAAATTGATAGAAAAGGCACTTGTATTTAACGATATCAAATTTTATTTTTGGTATGCGAGGGTGAATTAAAAAGTTTTTAGCCTCAACAACAACAAAAACTTTTAGTTTGACTGAAAAAAAAAAAATACAAAACTTTTTAATCCATCTACGTTTATAGATTTTTTGTTTATAAAATGTAAAATAATAGAAATATTTTAGGTGATATAGTACAGCTAGTATATAGTATATAGTAGCTTTATTAGGGAAAATTGTGATTAAACCACCAGCAGTACGATTTTTGAATGTAATATTTGCAACTATCAAATAATCGCTTTTTTTCTTATTAAAACAAGCAATTAGAAAAATAAGCATTAAAATTGTAATGGCAAATACACACAGTGTGTGTACACACACTGATTTCGTTTAGAATATTTTCTTTATTTTCTATACGGACTGATTCTGAATGTCAAGAATCGTACACGGGTTTAAATTTTGTAAAAGAAAGAAAAAGAAAGAAAAAGAAAGAATTAGAAAAAAATGATCATGGACGAGTAAAAAAACATATTGCTGGTGGTTCGTTGCAGGTATGAAGGTTGGCGTGGATTTTACAAGGGTCTTAGTGTCAACCTTACCAGAGTGACCCCAGCAACGGTGATAACTTTTGTGGTCTACGAGAATCTTGTCCACTTCCTTAAGTTCAACTCATAGACTGCGTACACACAATGGGTGTCCAAAGGATTAAAGAAATATCTTCGATAATAGGTAAAATTGGTAACAACATATTAGACAAATCTAATAGAAGAATATTCAAATTGTTGTATTATTGGCATTTACGTATAGTTAGTTTTTTTTTTTTATTTTTCAAATAATAATCTTAGTAAAGAAATATTTTTAATATCATCGAGATAGGATAGTTTGAAGAAAAATATAAGATATTGGAGTAGTACTCGGCAGAAATCTTGTCAATCTTTTCAAAAGGCGACAAATAATTTAATTAAAGTTTTGTTTTTTCCCTTATCTCTCTCTCTCTCTCTCTCTCTCTCTCTCTCTCTTTCCACGTTATCAATGTAGAAAAGGACTTATGATATCCAAAAGACTCTTAGCACAGTCCTTGTACCGTCGATTGCAATTTTCCTCGAATTCTGCTTCAATTATCTCATTTGGAAGATTTTCGTCTTGCGAACTGGAAGGTCTTTTCGAATAGGTGCAACCATGCGATTAAACAATTTATGTTGATTAAAGATTGATGTGTATACAGAGCGAGACAATAACTCTGTCTATTCTGTTGAATATCTTCCTTTTTTACAATTGTATTGAAAAAAAAGAAAAAAAACTTGTCTCTGAGAATAAATTGTAAATGTTATAGCAGAGTTATTGGCACACCCTGTGTATATTGGACAAACGGATTGAAATAAAATTTCTAAAGTCGAGTAAGAATTTTCAAATGTAAACTCACGCGAATAAAATCCTAATGATATCACCGAGAAGTCCGTTACCGTTCAACGAATATTTAGCGACTTCGCAAATTGTTTTCAGCAAACAATCTTGTCTCGAATAGCCATTACTATTGTAAAGAAAAACATTATTATTTATATAATTATTATTTTTGTTTGAATCGTAAGTATTAGTCGTGCAAAGAATTTAGGGTAATAGAAAATAATTGTGCTAAATAATGTTGATTATTTCTTAATGCCTTCATTTTGAATTTAGAAAAATGATGCTTGTGTAGATAGATAGTACAAATAAAAGTCATTGAATTACCTTTCTAATTGTTTAGATATAATATCATAGGCTAATCGTCTATCGAGATTTCGTTTCTTTTTCAAATGTTCCACTTCGGTGTAATAACTCGAATTCCAATCGCCTGGTAGACCATAATTTGCCTCGAAGTAATAGGAAAATAATATGGATTTATTGGGTATATCGAGGGGTACGCCAAGAGCAAAAAATATCTGCAAAGAAAAATAATAAACGCGAATGAAAGTTTCGATGGGGTGGTGGTATCGATAGATACTAGGATCGATAGAAAATCACGTTTAGGAGACACATCAATATGAAGAGAGTAACAAGATGTTATTCGACAAAGTTGAGGCGCATTAGTCGATGGAAAATGAATGATTGATTTACTATACCCCCATACCGCTACCCTCGGGAAATCCGATAGATCGAATGTGCCTTGATACGCCATGGGTGATATTCTTCACCCTTGACCCATGTGCCAAGCACATGGAACACACAAAGAGAATAAAGATGATTCCCCCATTTCTGTAATAACAAATATATATTTATATATAGTATCTTTTTTTCTCTTCTATACACCTTTGTACAGTTAAATCATTTAATAAGAAGAAGAAGAAGAAGAAGAAGAAGATAAGTTTTCTTTTCTTCTACAATTATTCAGATGAAAGTAACGGATGGATTATTATTTCACTCACTTCATTTTACTTTAGTATTTGATCGCAACAAAAGATGATGTCTTCTATCGAAAAATCGAGAGAACCAAGAAGGTTACTTTTAACGAAGCTGCGAGTAACGGTTCAGTAATACCGCAAACGAATTAGGAGTTGGTGAATTTGCGTAGAGCCTGTAATTGTCTTGTTAATTGGCTATTTTCTAACGGATCCTCGGGATAATTAAATGTTTCCAACTTGGACGTGGACGTGGACGTGGACGTGGACGTGGACGTGGACGTTATCGATCGACTATGCGCGCCCAATCGGCATAGTATCACCAATTCTAATCGAACTTTCCTATTAATATTGATATTCTAATTGACGTATTTTCAATTCGATTCAATTTACTTGACCAATTTTACATATTTTCTTTATCGGATCAAACTTGCCTTTCATTTATTTAACTTTCACAAAAGTATACTATAATTTGTATTTATATTAAATAAACTTTAATGGATTTTCTTTTGTTCGATGAAATGACTCGTTCTTACTCCAAATAATTACAAGCTTAAGCTTTTGTAAGAAAACTTTTCCAACAGATCTAATATTATCTTTTTGTAAGTACTTAACTTATTCCTATCATCATTTTTCCATTAATAACATCGCTAATAATGAAATCAAATTCGACATCTTATGCAAAGTTTGCTACGATAAGGGAAAAATTATAAAATATTACGTCGTCGTTAAATTTATCCCCTTCTCTTCAAAAAGAAAAAGAAAAGGAAAAGAAATAAAATGAAAAAAAGAAATTCATTTCTTTTCTTGGATCCACAAATTGTAGACGATGACGACGACGGAAATGAAGACGGCAACGTTAGTTTAACAAGTCTCCTCCTCTCTTTTTCGTTCCTAAAAACGTTATCATCAATAAAATGTTAAGGGAAGAAGGGTAATATTGTAGATAGATAGACGGGGGAATAAGTATAAAGTAGTATTTGGAAAATAATGATTGGTATGAGAGGAGGAAGAAATAAAATAATGAACGACCATATAACTGACTTTGAGATCAAAGCTTTGGAAAAAAGGATAAATCTAAAAAACCGAATATTTAGGATATTAACCAACCAAGAGCGGTCTGTTTGAAACTCTTTTCTTCATTTTATTTTGTATTTTGTATTTTTCATAAACCCCTCTACGATAATTGGTAAGTTCTTGGTACGGTTTCCAGATGGCGACTGTTGGTTGATATCCAGGACCTTCAGCCCCGCCCATGTGATTTAAACTGCGACCTTTTCAGTGACGACCCAACGACCCTGTCGCACATTCAGAAAGTTACTCCCTCAAAGGGAGTAAGAGAGATTTGGGATTGAATATAGCAAACGTATGTATTAGTAGTGCCACTCGTATTTGTCTTTGAGAGTCGTCGATTAATAATCGCTTTTTATCTTTCTTATTAATTAAATAATAGTCGATCAAATGAGATGGAATAAGAACAAATCGACGAACAAATCGACGAACAAATCGACGAACAAATCGACGAACAAATCGACGAGAAATTGCTCATTATTCACAGGATATTTTAAATAAAGATTCCATATACTCTTTTTAAGAATGATCTTCTTCAATTGAACATTATCGATGATTTAATAATAATAATAATAATAATAATAATAATAATAATAATAATAATAAAAATGAAAGAAAGGAACGTTAATGAAATATGTTTGCGCGGGCCGATTTTGTAGAACAACAGGAGTTCTCGAAATTGAAAAGCAGATTTCGTAATGCGCATTTTGGAAACTTGAATGAGAAGTATGGAGAGTAACCACGTTAAATACCAAATCCAAGTTATTTCGTGGTCCAGACTAGAAGTACGATGTGTGTGTATGTGTGTATAGAAACACGCCTTGGGTTGTGACGTCAGAATAGTAGTTTCGTCTACTACTTGTCGTTGAAAGTTTTGAGGGCGCGTGCGCCTCTTTGAACTTCCACCCATTTCCACCCATTTCCACCCATTTCCACCCATTTTCCTTGGCATCCTTCGTTCAGTCCCGTTCACCCCCTTATAACTGTCTTCATCTCTCTCGTTATTTGTCTCCTTTTCTTCTTCTCAAAGGGAGCAGACGAAACGATTATGAGCTTACTTAGGCGAGTAACGGCTACCTTTCTCGATTTACGACTTGCCTGGGATTAATGTCCTTTTCGATACCAACCGCGATAACTTTTACAGATCGTGTTTCATTCGAGCAACGATACTTTACAACAAAAGAAGAATGAGATACTTCAAATGGTGCTATCCTTTTTATACAATTCAGTTATAATAACTAACGTGATCCAATGATCGTGAATGTTGCAACGGATGTATTTAGGCAAGAAAAAGTATAAAAGTAGAAGATAACTAAAAATCAATTGATTAACCCGATTTCGTGGCTCGAGTTTCAATTGAGTAAACGAACTTGAATAAGATATTAATCTTACAAACCACGTAGATGGAAGATTTTCGTTAAGGAATCGTCAATATGTTTGACGATTGTCGTGTCGATTATTTACAGGAATCGCTACTCGAACGCGTATCATTCAATTTCTCCAACCCTATCCCCTCATTTCTATCCTCTTTTCCCATTTTATCCCATTTTCGGGGATATTAGGATCAAGCCTTTTGGCCAGCCAACCTCGTTCGCGAAGTACTTTTCAGCTTTTACTCTTTCCCTTCCCCCTTCCCTTCCCCGTTGCCAGCAAACCCTGATAAATCGTTTGCTCAAGCTCGATATTCTTCCTTTTCTCAAAGTTTTCTAATACTTTTCGCTATCGGTGGATATAGTTAAAGTTCATTCCTATATACGAATTTATTATTATTATTATCTTAAATTATTACTATTGAAATATTATACGATTTAATAAAAGAGGATTTTGTAGGTAAAAATCTGGTGAATAAATGAAAGAATGGTTTAACACGACGATCTGCTTTTGGCGGACTTTGGAATAAGAGGATATTGTAAGACACGATGGTAGAATTACAATTCTTTTAACGGTTATTCTCTCTCGCGCTCTCTCTCTCTCTCTCTCTCTCTCTCTCTCTCTCTCTTCCTTCCCGAGGACGTTTTAATTTGCAAAATTAATCGTCCTGTGGTTCACTGCTGGTCGATTCGTCGTTTAACGCTTTTAAGCGACCCTTCGACTTGTGACAAAACTCGAGATGACAAAGACAAAGATAAAAAGAGAAAGAGTCGAAGGTCAGTAGTCTTCTTCTTTTTAAGAATGGTGAACACGATGTGGAACATTCGTGGCAATCTCATCGTTTAACCCGATTAAATGTCTATCTCTGTAATAATTTTTGATCACTAACCAAAAATAATTGATCTATCTATTGTAGAATTCATTCAAATTTCCAACACGATCCTCTTTCATTCAACATGTCACATATATAACTGTGAAAAAACAAGAAGAAGAAAGAAAGAAAGACCCAGCCGGTAGCCACGTAGATCTCGTCGTCTTTAATCCTCTTCTCAGAGAGAGATAGAGAGAGAGAGAGAGAGAGAGAGAGAAGAAGATTATTTTTGTTGAAGTGCAGCCAGAAAATATTATTCGGATTCTCTCCTTTATTGTCTCGCAAAAGCGAGAGCCAATCTCTTTTCTCTCCATAACACCCTTCCACCATCACCAACACCACCATTCGCGAGTATTTTTTTGATAAATTCGAGAATGGTATCGTCGAGAGGTCAACAATTTTCCCTCCTATCCGCCATTTTTGTTCTATTGTTTTCCTACTTTGACGCGTTCAATCTCCTTTAGAACCCTTTTTACATTCGGTCACCTGACACCCAGCCCCTCGCCATCCTGTAAATAGCTATGGTCTTTTTTCCTATTGCCATAGAACACGTCACACAAAGAGAGAGAGAGAGAGAGAGAGAGAGAGAGGAACATGCTCGATGGTGGTTGATCTAATCTTAATTATTACCAGTGTAGGGAAGAACATATAAAACATTAAAATCCTTAGATTCTTATCGTCGTTCGATATTATTCCTCCGTTGGAAAAACTTTCTTAATTTTTTTTTTTTTTTTTTACGAGAATGGAAAACGTCGTCGTCGGCGTTGTATTCTTCGTCGCATTCGACGAAAAACTAATTACATTCCTGTCCGTAAAGATTACTAGGCGGAGAGAACGCGAAACGTTAATTAGCGCGTAATTAACCGTCTCATCGTCGTCCGTTTTACGGCGTCGATTCAGGACGCCGACGTCGACGAACTTTCCGAATTGTTCCCCCCTAGACTTTTTTAACCGATTCGCGAGAGAAAATTTTTTTTTCCTTTTTTTTTCACGTCACTCATTGTCTTACAATTGTTTTCTCTTTCTCTCTCCTTTTTGTTATTTGTTACATTTATTTACCGTGGGTTTAAACAATTCAAAGGGTTAATATATTTACGTTAGTTTTTATTTATTATATATATATATATATAAGAACGAGGAAAGGTGTTGCAATTTGTTCTACGTCCTAAGTATATTGTCCGATTTTTCTCACGTATTTAAAGGGAAGGGGTTGCTTGTTCTTGTCGTGTAGGTCGTCTTATCCCATTATCGATTTTCGATTGCCTTCCTACAAAGTATGATCCCTACGGTTATCTATTTTCAACAACTTTTTGCTTATTGTTATAGTTTGAGCTTTTCTCTATAGAAAAATATTGATTGTTTCTTTACGAAGAAGAAACGCGTCATAATTGTAAACTAATTGTTCTCATTTTGGAAAATAAGATCATTGCAAAAAACGTAAAGTCTTCGATCAATCAAGTCGAGTCGAGTCGAGTCGAGTCGAGTCGAGTCGAGTCGAGTTGATTTAAGCAATGCTACTTTTCTTTTACCTTACTACCTTCCATGGAACAGTTTTTTCTTCGTCTCGACAAACGTCAACCGTGTCTCTCTAATCAAGCAACTTTTCTCTCGAGCAAAACCGTAGTCGAGGAAAGATTAATGAAATGTTAGCTCAATTATAGAATTTTTGTTTTCACTTGATTTCCTATTACAATCATCGAACATCATTCATTTTAATCATACTATTGTCTAAACTACTACTTTTTAATCAAATTATTTATTTAACGAATCTTATAATGAAAGAAAACCAAAGTTCTTTTTGTCTCTTTCTGTCATTTTTCTTATTGTTAAGCCAAGATCCATCAATCTACTTTCTATGAGTTGCGAGTTGCAAGTTGCAAGTTAAAAGAAAGATCGTGTGTGTTTTTACAAAAAAATATTCATTAATTGAAGAGATCAATTTCGTTCGATGATCATTGAAGATGATAAGAAATTCTGATTTTCTCGTTATGATCTTTCTAATTATGATCGTGGAAAAAAGTGCGGAAACATCTCGTCTCGAATTCTCATCTTCTATGGTGTATGGGTTAATGCCCTACCATATTTTCCATCCCTCTTTGCCTTTTTTCTTTTATTTTTCTCTTTCTTTCTATCATTTTCCACAAACAGCTTATCACATAGTCAAAGATGATGTTTTAAATTTCATGATACGCTTTTTCTATTTGTTTTTATGTTTAATACGATCGTTCAACTCAATTCGATATTTCTTACTGATAACTCTATCTCTCTTTTGTGCAGATTATTTTTCAAACCATCCTTTACTAATGTCTCCCTTTTGCTTTAGCCTTCTTTTTTCTTTCTTTCTTTTAGTCTCAATGATCGTTTATAAGGACGATTCAACTCAGATTGTTCGCTAAAGTAGCTTTGTCAGCCCTTAAGGGAGAAACCTACCAATAATTTCCATGGGATCCATCGAATACCATACGGGAAAGCAAATGTTAATTTTACCATTAACTAACATTTGTCACGGTTAAGTTCCTTTTTTTACTTCAAGTTAATTTATCGCTATTGTAAAATGGTGAATAGTTACGGACACGATCTATATCGATATAAGAACGTGTATTCGTTTTACGGATTTTCAAACGGTTATCTATCGAAAGCCCATAAAATTCGTCTATAAAGTTGATTGAGAAGGTGAGTTTATCCGGGACAGGCCGATAATCTTCGCACGAAAAAGCATCGATGCTTCGAATCGATCGATCCGTTATCCTTCTCTTTCCAAAATAGGATATCAATCGGATAGACGTTTATAAGATACGGTAAAACGGATCTTAACGATCTTTCAACATCAAAATAACGCACTACTCCCTTATTATACTTACTCCATACCAGAAAAGTTTCATTGTTTTAAACAACAAATCATTTCTTTTGAATTATTCTATGAATATTTAATATTGAATAAATCAAGTGATTTTTTTTTCTTTCTTACGTAGGTTTATTTTGTAATTTGATTTTATTCGAATGAGGTTTCTTGTAAGACCGATCGATTTTATCCCATTAAGGGATTTCCATATACAGGGTAGGACGTTGGGGGCATGGCGTGGCGGTTCTGCCTATACTCAAATATGGAGAATGAATATTAGTGAAGTAACATTGAACATTGTTTAAACTTTTACTTCAAATCCATCGTTTTAAATGAAACTGTCTATTCCACTCTATTTTCTTTCTTATATCTTCTAAAATCATTGAAATCGAGATTGGGAAAAAATATGATCGTTTTGACTATATAAATCACGAGATTTATAAGATGTCACTCGTCTAGTCTATCCGATATTATTTTTTCATAGAACAGATAGATGATAGAAGAGAGGATGTGTCGAAAACTATCATGAATTTTTATTTGACTTTTGTATTTTTTGGTCTATTTAGTTTCTCTCGGTTTTCGTTGGATGGAGGAGGGAGGAGAAGGAAGGAAAAAAGAATCAATGTGAAACGATTGAAATCGAAGGCAGTTACGTGTTATTCACTTACATACATATATCTATATAGGATTCAACGCGAGATCGGAAATCCATCGGACGGTTTTCCTAAATTGAGTTTTCTATAACTACGTTCGTCGAAGGAAACGCTATGTCAGGACGCGCTGGTGTCTAGTTCTAGTGGTTCTTCGGTTATTCTCGAGTACCACTACAACCACCACCCCCTCGGAAACTAGCCAGTCTTACGAATCCAACTACAAAGTCGTAAAACCAACCAACTTTTCATTGTACCCTTCGTTGACGATGAAAATGGGATTTACAAATCGCTTATATATAGAAAGAGGGAGAAAGAGAAAAAGACACAATTTATCTTTTTATTCTGCTCTTCAAGTATTCGTTAACAATCATTTTTATCTTCGTTCGTAATCGATACATTTTTATGTTATAAATTAATTGAGAGGTTTTTTTACTTTGTTTGTTCGACGAGGTTCAACGTTTGTTCGAATTCATTCATTTAGAACGCACGTACGAGTTTTGTCTATATCCTCGAAAGAACACGTTAAACGATAGTTCTTTCTCTCTCTCTCTCTCTCTCTCTCTCTCTCTCTCGTCGGTTGCAAATTGATTACGTAATGTGCCAGTTCGAGAGAAACTAAGGTGATTTCTTTGTCACTTTAGTCGTCCGTGTTCTTTGAGAGTTTCTCTTCTTCTTCTTCTTCTTCTTCTTCTTCCTGTCTCCAAAATATGAAAGCAGTCGTGTGAGTAACGAATCCAAAAGAAATAATATTTCTTTAATTCGAATAATCAACAATTTTTCCATTAATTTCCATTTTAATGAAGATATCGTTAGGAAAACAATTAAAACGTAAATACTGGTTGTGTGAAAGGATTTCTAAAGAAGCGTGAATTTATATTTGTTTGCGCTAAAGTCGTAGCAAGTTACTTTATTCTACAATTAATAATAGCTCGTTCTAGATAATAACAACTTTACTTTCATATTTATGCTATCAATTTTCTTATTATTAATTAACCAGTGCCCTTTACGAAGCTTTATACTTTTCTTTCATAAATTAAGACAGACTTTTCTCCTTTTTCTTTTGTTCATACAAAGTTATAATATACATATATTTTGATAAAATGATAAATGCTATCTAAACAAATGCCTATTTTTACACAAAAGTGATCTAAAGTGTTAATATTCATTTTACATAACATCTATTTTGTCAATTTTTTTCGAAGGAAATTCTGACATATCGACATATCAAAGATGAGAAAGACTGAGAGTTATTAATGAAGAAGTTACTTTCCAGTTTTTCATTTGTATGTTTCTCATTCTCGTTTCATCATCGAAGAGAATGGCGGGGATGGGGGTTTGCATCGAGTATAGAATCGATCGCAGAGTCAATAAAACTTAATTGAATAAACGAATCGAAATTCTCGAAAGACTGCTGGGAAAAACGGTTTATTAAATATTTGATGAGAATTCGATTATATAAGAGCAAAGAGGTTTTGCAAGAGGTTAGGTTGCTTGGCAAAAGGGTTGGTTGGGAGGAGGAGATGGGTG